TCTTTCTACCGCTCTCTCTACCCTTGTCTGTCTGTCCGTCTCTCTACCCTTGCCTGTCTGTCCGTCTCTCTACACCTGTCTACCTTTTCAAAGAGATATGCCATCCTTCCCCCTCTCCGCCCCCCTCCCTCTCTCTCTCTCTCTCTCACACACACACACACACACATGATACGGTACACATCTCATAATTATTTGACATAGACATACCCGTGCGTTCTTTAAAGGAAATTTCGCTAAAAATATACGGATGTGTGCGCGCTTAGCTTGTGGGTCAAGACATGATCAAATCCGTTATAACAATTTTGTTTAAAAAAAGTAATTTTGGGGGCTCTCGTGGCCTTAGAGGTGGTGTTCGCCTCTCATTTAAAGTCAAAGGTCCCAGGTTTGAATCTGGGTAGCGAAGAAAAAATGTTCTTCTCTTCTCTAAAATTATCTCCTTTCACAGCCTTTCCTGCTCTCTAGCAATAATTCAGTCGTCTGCTTTCGTCTCCACTTTCTGCCCCCACCCCATCACCTCCTTTGCCCCCTCCTCTGGGCTTCAGACTCATTCTGCAGCCTTTCCACTGCTTCTCCTTGGCTCCTTCTTACTGATGTCTTTCAGCCCCACCCCTGATCTTCTGGTACGGTAGGAAGGATCTACACCTAGCCTTCTCCGGCAAGGGCGAAAAATTTAGGAGGTCCCGTGTGCAAGTTGCGCACGTTCAAGATCCCTTGGAGTTCCAAAATCGACAAACTGAAAATGTTAGGTATGTCCCGTGTGCTTATATGACCTTAGGCAGTTGCGAGCGCCGTAAAACACTTACAAAAAAAAAAGTAATTTTTGTTAACGCCAGCTAACAAGGAAATTAATCCAGTTTCGTACAATCATGAATATTATTATTCTTGGTTGCCTCCCCTTACACAAAAATGTGGCTAAATAACCTCTTGTTAACTGGTTACATCATGATTTCACCTACCATTAAATAGTCCTTTGCAGAATAAATTATAGCCTCAAATGTGTTACATGTACTGTTCTAGTCTAATGGCAACTTCGGTTTGCAAAATAGTGTGGTACCGTACACATACTAAAAAAACCTCGAGCACCACCAACTACAAGTTAAAAAGCAGAGTAAATTGCGGAATGTGACTTTCCCAGCACTCTGGAAATAAAAGACAAGCCTAAGAGCATTTACAAGTGTTTCGAAATGTCCGCTTTGAAAATGACCCGTTGATTTTTGCTCAGAATCGTTTTCAGACATGTTTGAAACTCACTAGCATGCCCCACCCCAATACTTTCAATAATATGCCTTGACCGTCAAATCTGAAGGGTTTTTCATGTACACGTACAACAAATGCAGAAAATCATCTGGCGTAACATTATAACTAATAATGCTAAATTTAAATTCAAATTAGTGATCAAATGCCTTTGTTTCAAAATAGAAAAATCTGTTACAAACGTAGGGGTGGGTGTATTTTCTATATTTCTCTGTCCCAGATTAGTCCTTGATCTACATTCATGTACAACATTTTCTGTCCAGCCCCAGCTCTCTAATCTATCACACGCTGCTGACCATCGGTTGGGGATCTACTGTGATGTCAGTAGTCTATTATTAGATTTTTGACTACCAGATTCACAGCCATAAAATTACAGGTCCAAATCCCAGTCTGTGCTTGACGAAAAAAACTTGTTCACTTTCACTTTTGTCTGTCCATGGTTAAAATGGGATTTAAAAAATAAACAAATTGCTTTGTTCAACCTTCTCATCACTCAATGAGAAGGGAGTAGGCCTACCTGTCTAAGTCTAAGACAGTGAAAGTGAAAAGGTGACACATAGAGAAAGCCTCTCGAGGATGTACTTTTAATAGCTGCTTAAGCTTTGGAAAGTGCCTGCTTGACCCCACATAGAGAATGCTGTTACACATGGCCGTTTATCATCAAGTGTATGCATTCTTCATAAAACATATGTACAACTGTACCATAATAGACAGGGAAAGTGTTGTCCAAAATTTTACTAAAGTGTCGTTCCCGAGATCGGATATGACATGGGAGCTTGCTGGTAGACCCACTAATCATGCTAAAGGCGTGAGAGACATGTTTACCTGCCTCATGTTCGCCCAGAACCCTCTAGTCTATAACTAGATCACGCTGGACAAATTATGAGAGAGAGAGAGTTTAGTACAAGTATTAAGCGTACGGCCCTCAATATCACTGTATTCGTATCCTAGCAGTAAAAATACGTATATACATGTACAATGTGGACTTTGTTACGTTTGTCCCAAATGGGAGCTCTAACGTATACTGATGGTACGAGCGCATCTGTGTCCATGTTCGAATCACTTGCTCCATCAAACTGTAAGCGTAAGTAGAAGTAGAAGCACTGCTTTGGTACAACGGTAACGTGAAAACAAGGCCACAGACAGCTTTGGGCGCCTTGGAAATAAAGTAGTAGGATTCCGCGAGAAACGTCAGTGCGCTCCTCACTGAGAGCTTTTTATGTATGTGGGACGCAACGGTTTTCATTCTTAGGGGAACCTTTTAATTTCACTGCCTCAGGCAGTGCGCTTACGTGAGCGTGAGTGAACGGCTTTCCCTATGTGGTCACCGTTAGTCATTTAATGGAAGAGTTGCCTACTTCTTTTCATCCGATCAGAGAGAGACGAGTAAACCACTTGAGAATGAAGGAACCGCATAAACCTATGATGTGTTGAAAAGGGTGACCAACTCTCAACTTGTCCCAAAACCCCTCAATCCTGTGGAAGGTCATTTGTGATACAGGACAGAATAAAGCTTCATCAAACAAAAAAGATTGTCTCCAAACATAAAACTGACACGACCTGCGTCATAGTACAAGTGTTTTAATGGGTGTTCTCAGTACATGTACCAATTAATAAGATACAATAGGGACCACTACAAATTAGTATTTGATGGACTTGAGCTTGCAAAATGTATTGATCAAACTGAGCACAAAATAGGTCAATAGATGTTTCTGGTGTGTTTCTGTGCATGCACACACACACACATACACACAGAGTTCTTTTCTTACAATATGCTTCATATGCTCTCTTTCCTGAAAAAAACCTCAGTTACCATACTGAAATGAAAGAATTTTGTCGTTTGTGGTTTTGTTAAGGCATTTTAAAAGTACAGCGTAGTTCCACATCATAAAAAAGACAAAAGACTCTATTCTTGTGTGTATTCTAGTTCCTACACAAAAAATATTCTGAAGATGGAGTATCAGTTCCTCCAACAGCAGCCCAGGCTTAAAAGAAATACCCCCCCCCTCCCCCAAAACAATGGTAGATCCCGGTCAGAACTGAACCTGTAACTTCTGTTCGTTGGTCAATAGTATTGTCTGTATTACAGCATACTGTTGAGAAAGAGAGAGACCAACTTCTGTGACTTTGTAAATTATTGAAACACATCAGCAGTGTCACCACAATGCAATACCAAGCAAGATACTTCAAAATTGTTTATAAAGTTTTATTTATTGCAGTGTAACAGTCAGCCTCTTCACCACTAGGTTATCTCAGACAGCAGTCTCTCCAAATCAAATTTGAGACACAAAATACGAGAAAAAATACAGGGATGCCACTCAACTTTAAAAAAAAATAGTTGAAGATCCACGCGCCACGGTCTTGCAATTTTAATGACTCATGAAGCAAAATGGACACAAAAAAGGAAATGGAGTACAGCCCCATGATGGTAATCAAAGAAGTAGGCTTTGACATCAAGTGTTAGAGTTTTTATATTGATGGATATTCTTAAAAAGGTTAAAACTATGGCATTATTAATTTTTTTTAAAACAACAGTATCATGCATGAAGTCAGCCAATGCTTGGAGTAAGAGAAATGCAAAACTGGCAACAGCAAAAAATTTTTAAAAAAATGAAGTGCCCATTGGCATTCAGAAACTTGCACCATATTCTTTGACAAATTAATGGGCATCCGTCTTACCATTAACTTATTACTGACCTTACCAATGCGACTAGTTTCAAAATAGCCTTCAAATTTTTGCAATTCACCTCTGGCTACAGGTAGAAGTAGAATAAATCTTTTGTCCAGTCAAACCACATTTACTTGAACCTGTAAAAGGTAGAATCAAAGGAAGCCCGAAAAAAAATTAGTCTTAAACATTTTTAGTCCTAAGACAGGGGAATTTTACGGGGAGGGAAAGTCCAGAGGGCAAGCCATATGTGGTCGAATCAAAGATCGTCTGCCTGGTTGGTAAGCCGTAGCCAAACTTCACACTTCTTAAGAGCTATCCTAACCACTCTGATGTATCAGTCTTACTAACCTTTAGCGACTAGTACTTGCATCTCATTAGGACCACTATTTAACCAAATAAAAACAGAAACAATTGAACTTCTCTATTTTAACTCTTAGCCCCATCCATGGATATGATAAGCACAGTCAACAAAATTGGGGGACATTTTTTCTTGGCTGACTGTACGATCATTGCAGCAGGCAGTTGTCAAATTGGACACCTCTGGCCTCCCAGGAAAGTTTCTGTGCCAACATGCTACCTGAGCAGTGGTGAGATTTCACATCCACATGACCCTGACCAACTGCACCACTCAAGAGTTCACCTGGGTTGGGCAACAACTACCTGGAAACTGCATCTCTTCGTTACCTGACAGCCTGGCATAAATGTTAAACTTAAAGCCTGTGTAAACAAACTACAGAGTTTTTATTTAAGTCAGGGTTGAGTGGGCAAAGCATTTTCTTACTTTGACAGGTCAAAATCCTTAGAAAGGAAGGAATTTCTCTGTCCGTTTTCAGATTGTGAATGTTATCATCTTGGACAGATGTATTGCAGAGGAATTTATCAAGGGGAGAGTAGGAAGATCCTGTCAAGACAGGTTTTCCGTCTTGGACATATTTTGAAAGGCAGGTCCAACTGCATTAACTCTTTAAACCATGACTTTTTTCCACAGTTTCCAGGAGTTTTTTCTACAGTCACCTAAACCTCTGGCGCACTATGTCTCATTAAAACCCCAAAAGCTTGCCTCCAACTTCTAAATGGCGGAAACAAATGCTTAGTCATTACTAAAAGACTTGGTTCAGGAATAGTTCCGAAAAACAAGCAAAAACTAGCACCAAGTAAAACGAAAATGTTGTTACTAGTATCGGACATTCCCAGAGTCCGATGGAGAACAGAGTTATTACCGCCGGACGCTCCCAGCGTCCGATGGGGTTTAAAGAGTTAAACATTCTTTTAATACCAAACACAACATGGGCAGCTTTTGTTAATGTTTTAAACACCATCACGACAACTAATCATCAAACTACTATTTGTTGGAAAAATAATTGCAGAACCACAGAGATAAGGGCAAAAGTATCTTCCTAAAGTGTAAACCAGGTCATAGCAGCCTGAACGTAATTGATCACATGGATTAGTATGGATAAAGCTCTATCTTTTTTGTCTATTTATTAGATATCATCACCAATACTCGAATCAATCCATTTTGTGAAACAAAATGACTGAATTCCATCTGTTTAAAACCAATCTTCAACATTGGCACTTTCGTCTCTACCCTCTGAAGTTCTGGGCTTCCACGGGCTCGGGAACACAGTGAAGGGCATACTCAAAAGCTTCTTGTTTCCCTTGTTGCCAACGTTGAGCTCTCCGAGTTCCATCCGCCGTTTCCATTCTGTCAGCGTCTTATCTTCTCCGCTGGCAAAGTCCACACCATACATGGTGGACACCAAGCTAGCAGTAAAGAAGGCACAGTCAATGTTCACCTCAAGTGAGCACCCTTGGATCATCATTGCCATGAAGCCTGTCAGCAGAGACACAGTAGACATTATTCAACCCTTTCATTGCTCAGGCATTTCCATCTACATTTGTACAGGCAAGATAAAACAATACTTAAACAAGGCCATAGTATGTCTCCCCTTATTTAGAATAAACTACTTGAAAGTTTCAAACCTTCTACAATGTCCTCTACAAACCAGTAGTAATAGGGCAAAGAGCCAGTTTGGGAGAACACAAGTGAGTATTTGTCCACACAGCAGTGATGAGGTTAAGGAGGTGTGAAGAGGTCACATCAACATTTTCATTAAAGTCAGTGGATGAGCTTTCCACTTTCTTTCCAAAATGGTGAGGGAAAATAAAAAAGGGACCATTTCACCAGAAAATCATTTTGTCAGAGTTCATTTAAAGCCAAAATTCACTGTAAATTTTCAAGCAGTAATTGTAGTTTGAAAATGCATTCAGATAATGTCAACTTTCAATACTTGAACTTGGAGTTTTAATAAGTCCTGTACAATAAGGAATTTAAATATAAATTAGATGGCTTTTATAGTTGGGGGAATCTTTCTAGTTCACAACCAATGCATGGTCAAATCTGCAAACGAAATCACTGAAAAGGAAGAGCAAAAAATTAAGTCTTTTACAAGTTTCCACCACGAGTCTGGGTGACAGTTAGGTGTAAGCACTGGGTGAGCATCTATAGACTTATCCGCTATGATGAAACTTGGATACAGCAAACTCAAACTCAATGAAAACTCAAGACTCAACGCAGGTAGGTTCTGCTCTACAAAGCTTGGAGGAAGCGAGTTGAAAGACAGTTTGAGAGAAAAGGATATCAGGGCATGTTGAGTGTGTAATGTAAAATGGAGAGCAGACAGTTTCCATTCCTGAAAATAAACCAATAGAGCACCCAAATTAAATATTTTGTCTTGTCTCACCAGCAACAAATGCATAGTTGACTCCATAAAAATCGATGACTTTGTCAGCCTTCAAATATTTTGACCGGAACTTTGAAGTTTTACCGCTGTGCAGGTCTGAAAGAAATAAAGTCCACAGTAGATTCAACAAAAATTTAGAAGAAAAAATAAGTCTAACCCCCAATTCATTTTTCCAGAAAAGTAAAAAAAAATTATTTTAAAAATCTCATAATACAGTTAGTGATTCAGAACAGTGAGTTTCCTATAACATTAGTAAAGAGGGAACATTATGCAATGCTTACTCTCTCCCTCTCTGTGCCTGTCTATCCATCAATCTGTATATATGTACCTACCACTTATCTATGGTATCTAAATGTGACACTTGAGACAACTAACCAGCAAGAGCATTTATAAAGCAACAGTTTAGACTTAATATTAGCAGAGAAGTCCCAGAAGCAAAGAATGATGTAGAGATGAAGTTTATCCAGAAAACAGACTGGCCATTACATGTACTAAGACAGGGTGCTTAACCCAGCAAAGAGAGTAGAGAAGAAGAGAGACAAAAAGAATCAGTAGATACACCAAGGAAAATACTACTATCGAGAATCCACATATGAATATTCATGAGTGTTCTTCTGTAAACTTTAAGTGGGTGTATTTATTCCACCCAGACCCACTGAAGCAAAAACCTTTACCCGCATTCTGTCAACAAAAAAAGCAAGACTGACTCACCTGTGTGAACATAGGCAACGTACAGACCATCACTGACAATAACAGTGCATGTTTTCTTGGAGTGGGATTTGATCCACTTACTGATGGCACGAGCTTGGTGTTCAAAAGAAGAGCATACCTGCAGTGAACGTTTTAGGTAGGGAAAATTCATTTTACATAAAATCATGAAACAGATTCTTCAGCGTACTAAACATAATAGTAATGCAACAGTAATTAAAATTTTGATAGAGTAGGTCATTCCCCTGTCAAGATGGAATAAGAACCAAAACGGTGAGGTATCGAGTAAAATTCAACATATTGCAGGTAACAAATCAACAGTGCACAAAGAAAAGCATTGATGAGCAACAGTAGTACACGATGTAGCGTGCCAGCAATCATATTTTCAGCCACGGTCAGCCTTCAAAAGGACTTTTGGCCAAACTGAAGCCTTAATGTTACTCTAGCTTGCTTTATATCTCCTCTCCCCTCTGGTTCGAAAAAGGATACCGTTTAAACGCCCTTGGCTTGTACATGCAGATGCCATAGTGTTTTTTTTATTTGAGAACCTTCACGACACTTGTTGAGGGCAACAATCTCTGACCCAACATGTGGATGCACACTGCATTGTCACAACTAGAACTACTACGTATCCTCTTAGTCTGCAAGGCAATACTTCGTACACTGAAAAATTAACATATTATTAAAGTTATAATATTTTATAAACTCATATTGCAGACAAAAGGTCCCAATATAAGGCTCTTTATTGGTGTTTTGAAAAAACAATCATGTTGATAAAATGGAAATAGATTCTTATAAATTTTCACCATCTTCTCCGGACAACTTCTCTTGGCTGTGGAGACAAATGGGAGTTGAATCATCACACTTTGCACAAAACCTTAGGAGGGGATTGGGATTTTTTTTAAATGCTACATTTTTTGCATTCTGCTGATGCACTGAGATCTACTGCACAGGAAAAAACCCAGAGATAATTTCTTTTAAATATATAACGTTTAAAAACCCGAGCAAAAGTAAGTCATGAAGAGTATACTTACGAGACATGAAATCTGAAATAAGAGAAAAAGAAAACAACATTTAATACTGAGCAAGATTATAAGTCGTTTTAACCCTGTCAGACTTCCCTCTATACCTGGCCTCCAGAGCAAAAGTTAGCAGAAATGCATATGGTTCACAAAAGTGGTTAGCACAGGAAAACGAGTCATCAGAAACACATGAAACTTGGTAAAAATACATATAAAAGGCCTACCTTTGAGCTAATGCCAGTACTCAGATAGGTTTTCAAGAACTTCTTGTGTGGTAAACAGTTGAGACCTAGTCCTCTTTCCTATCGAAGTGTTTGGTCCATCAGCACGTCTCTTCATGACAAAAAAAAATCCAAAACCTAGAAGAGAAACTACAGTCCAACCTCATGGAGTCTACCATTTGCAATGATCAATTCTCGCACTAAAAGCGGAGTTTAGAGATGATTGGCCAGCTATTTTAAAAATATGACATCGTTTTATGACGCGACCTCCCAATTACCGGTGTGCCAAAAAATTCGGCATAGTTGAAGTTTTGAGTATTCCCAGGAATAAGGTCTGACAGGGTTAATATGTCTGTACACAGTCTGTTGCAAGATAGCATGAGATCAAATGGTAAAAATGTCTCCATAATAGTGACAGCCAAAAGTTCACACAGCTTGAAATGAATTTTGAAAATACAGACGTTGTTTTCTGTTCAAATGTTCAGAGAAATTCTTCAAAGATAAAGATCGGACTCACATTGTTGGAAGGAAAGAAAGATGTCTTAACTAACAAGCTAAATATAGAGTTATTGTAAAAAGAAATATTCCCAGCATCAGTGTATATTATGAATACTTTATATATATCTTGAACAGTAACTTGCTGTAAACTTCAGACTCTTTCTTACATGATTAAAAAAAATGATATCCTATGAAAACGACTGATAAGTTTGATCCTGCTAAGCCAATTTAAATCTAAATAACTTTTGAAGTTAAAAGTATTTTACTCCTCCTACTTAACATCAACTAAAAAAAACTTACTGGTATGTTGTACAACTTTATCAAGCCTTGAGCACACTGAAGAAGAAAGAGGAAAGAAAATTTTGTTTAAATGATTAAAGAATTTAAGAAAGAATTGAATTGTTTCAGGAAAGGAAAGCTACAATTATACACAGAGGAGCAACAAACTGACATCCCCAATCATGTATGCACAACTATGACCTTCTGGACAGAGAGACATACTAACTTGAACGAGGGCATACAGGCACTTGTACAGATTAGTTTTTTTTTTTTTTTTTTTTATTTTTTTTTTTTTTTTTTTTTTTTTTTTATTTTTTTTTTTTTTTTTTTTTTTTTTTTTTTTTTTTTTTTTTTTTGGGGGGGGGGAAGGATGTCTTTACACATGTTGCACTGTATTAAAATTAGAAAATCAAAGTGCCTTAGAAACTACAAACTAACGGCACCATTCACACGTAGTAAATAGAGGGTTGTTTTCTCTTCTTAGAAAGAAATAATCAGAAACATCAGATATGTTGTAGAAGTTACAGAAATTCCAAGGAAAATGACAGCATCTGCAACTTTACATAAAATGAGCTGACTAGAATAGAGCAAACAACTTGAATCGACAGTTTGGAACAACAACTACAACGTCAATTTTTCTCTTCTGACCTCTAAGTCCATGAAGAGCACGTCGGTGTAGGCAAGAGTCTCCATGATAGTCTGCTTGTGTTGGCACACCAAGCCATAGTGAGAAAGACTGACACAGAACTGCTTGAAACGGGCGCAGCAGTAGTAGGCCAGTCGCAGCAGCGCCTTTGGCATGAAGCAGATTGTCAAATCCTGCAAGTAGATACATGATGAGATGACTCATATCTAGGTTAACTAGAAACACATAGGTGCATCAGTAGTCACTGAGAGCTGGGGAAAAGCAAGACAGGGAGACAGAAACAGCACGGGGATAACAAAAAAGAAGTGCGACCTCACAGTAACACCCTCCCATCACCTTGCAAAGACACTGCAGCTCTGTGTTTCAAGTCTGAGCATAAGACTGACAACCTTTCAACTCAAAGTATAAAAAGCATGCAGCCATTAAGCATCTCATTACACAGTCAAAACCTCTTGTTGCACCCATGTCAGATTGGTTAAAATGATAAATCAAAGTCCACCAATGTTCTTTTGTCATTGTATGACTTTTGACTCCAATAAACCACATCACGTACAAAGCTAACACTTCACACACAGAATTTCAAGCACTGTCTCTTTTGGAAGATATAATATAGGCTGAGTATTGTAAAAAATATTTCATAAAAATCGAAAAATGGCATATGAACTAGAGAATCATAACAAAGCAACAGCAATGTTTGCCTCCTTTTAAATGAATGAGCACTCCGATTTGTGTCCTTGAGCATACCTTATTAGTACAGCTGCAAGGTTTTGTGTTCTTTTTTCTTAAATGTTTAATCTTTTCACATCCCAGTAACAATGGTAAAAAACAAAAATAAACTTCAAACAGGAAGTTCTGAAATTTTCTTCTCATTTTTTGAAAATTTCTTCTCAAAACAAATGAACAAGACCAAGCGCTCCGCTCTAAAAAAATGTTTTTTATTTACCTTATCGGACATTAACCTTTGGCAAATTATACGCAAATGAGAGTTTCTTATTTACTCTTGTTTTAAGCACATAAATACAGATACAGTCGAACCTGCTTTAACAGAAACCTGTGCAAAACGGAAACCTCCCTTGACAGAATTTCCTCGCTCCCCCCTTGATATATTCCTCTTTAATTACCTGTATAAAACGGAAACCTGTTCAACATGGAAACGGAAAGAAAAATCCGCTCCCTTCTGAGGGTGTTACCTGTTTGAGACGGAAAATGCTTTGCCTGCTCAGTCCTAATTTGAAACAAAACTGGCAAGTTTGGTTCCGCCGGCTCTAAACTTAATGCCATGCTGCCAGGCAAGGAAGGGGAGTAGGGGAGCATTTTAGGAGTAGATGTTACCCCGTCATGTGAACCCTGAGCGATGCAGATGGTCAGTGTGGTGTGGGTGTGAAATCTCACGAGTGCCAGTGAAAGTGCTTGAGTAACGAGCCACCACGGAAGCTTTCCTGGGTAGCCAGAAGCCAGAGGTGTGTGTGAAATTACATGTACTTTGACCAATGCCTGCCGCCCCGATCGTAGGGCCAATCGAGAAAAGAGTTCCTTGAATGGTTGTTACATGGCAGTGAGGGGTGGCATTGGTTGACTGCTTGTTACACCGATGGGTGGGGCAAAGAGTGAAAGTAAAGAAGATGTTCAAACGTTTCTGTTTTTAACAGGTCAAACAGTGGTAGCACTGGTGGTAGTTGGATAAGTAAGACTGATGCATGTCATTATCAGAGAGGATAGTAGTTGAGGTGTGAAGTTTTGACCAATATTTGCCAACTGAACAAGCGACTCTTGATCCCACGGGATGGGCCTTTGACCCCCCTTCCCCCTCCATCTTTCCCCTAAATTTCCCTGTCTAAGACGGAATTTTTTTCTGGCTCCCTTGCGATTCTGTCTTACATAGGTTCGACTGTATTTTCAACATGGCACAAGAAAAGGACAAGAACTCGTACACATGCAAAAAACAGATTCGCCCTTTCCAGTATCTTGGTGATGCAATTTGTGTCCATGTAAGACAGCTTGATCGGAACTGACCACCAATCACTGAAGAAAATTTCACTTCTGAAATAAAATGAACAAAGAAAAGAAAGTGAATGGAGTTGTAAAGACGTCATGTCAACACAACAATGGTCAGTTTACCAGGAAGCACAAATACATTACAAAAAGAAAAAAAAAGGGGCAGAAAGAAAAACAAAGAATCCATTTTGTCAGACACATTTTGCCTGAAATTTACAAGACAAGTGTGGGGAAGTGGGATGGGTGAGGAGGGAGCAAATCGAAAACATGCGCCAGCTTGAAGAGTTGCATATGGGAGAAAGAGAGCTTATCATCGTGCAGTATATGGGTGCTGTGCATCATGTGAGGCGTATACAGTGACCAGTTCGCTGGCACTGGCAGTGTAACTGGGAAACTTTACATTGGGGGTAGTTCAGTAAGAATCACCCAACAGATGGCAGATGGTGTTTCAAAGGGGGAAATAGTTTGTCTATACAGGTGTTCCTTTTCATACATCAGCAACATCTGATAGTAAGCAGGGCTGGTAGTACAGCGGAGTCCATTTTTAACAAGTCCTGGAATAATGAGAAGTCTGTTATAAAGACACTATTCTAAAACCCCGTTTTTTCCCCTTCTTTATCCTTGAAAATAAAATATTGCTATATATGGAGCGCAATCAGACAAACATGGGAGTCGATGATAGCGAAATATTGCTGCTGTGCACAGTGCATAGGCCAATACACACAAAAAAAAAAAAGACATGTAAAACCTCGCCAGTTGAGAAACTCGTTGGTAATCTAACAAAACAAAGAATGAGAGAGCCCACGTGTGCCAACAATGAAGGCCAGAGCGAATGAGTGAGGAGATTGTGGTATGCGCAGACAAGCAGAACGCATCGTGTGATAGGCCATCCAAGTCTAGATTATCTAGGCCTACCATGCCTCTCACTTCTCCTACGCTTGGATGGAGAGGTCACAATCACAGTGCTGTGATAGATGGAGCAAATGTGTGACGTGGGCAGGGTGTGGTGGGGTGGGGGACAACACAGTGGGTGTGTTAGCCTAGATCTAGAGTCCTTTCTTTCTGACCGCCAACTCGAGAGGTCATGTTGAACAAAATTATCATCAGGGGAAATAACAAAAGGAAACAAACAGAACACCAAAGCGATAGATTAGGCCTACTTTATTATTACCCCTGAATTTATTACTGGATCTCTTAAGTTATAACGGATATTTTGCACCAGTCCCCTCCCTCTCATTATAACAGGATTTTACTGTATAACAAAGAGCAGTATCATAAAGTTTGACTGTGAGCATTATTCCTTCATTATGGATGACCACTGGTGCTGTGCAGTTCAACACTTAACATCCTGTGAACTTGGTGGAAGTGGCTAATCACGTCAAAGGTGAACAAGAAAAATGTACTAGTACTAGCTGTGGCGAAGACTAGGAACAGATTGATGATCTGCTCTCAAGTGTTAATATACAAGGAAACATTTTTCTCTCTTTAATTTTGAGATTGGTCTTGACTTGCTTTTCATTAGTTGAAGTCTTCTTAAGCCTGTTCCAAGATTCTACATTTCATTTTTGTTGAAGCCATGTCTCTCTTGCAATTGCAGCCACCTTTGCACTTTTGTAGAAGCCAGCCTTTTTTTCTCATACTTTCTCTTGGTCTCCATAGAGGTCTTTCATTATGATCCCATATTCCAGGCAGTCAAGGTATTCTAGGATTCCTTGTCAAAGACAAAAACACAGAGAATACCCTGTAACACATTTATTCATTCATTACATACCTCCCTTTGTTAAAGTGAAGCACAAGATGCACGCTGGTAATAGCTTGCTTCACCTCCTGTAGCTGAAGGCTAACACCTGTACTACGAGCTAGGGTCATTAAGCGGTGAGAATCGTCATCCATTGACCGGGTGCCAATAAAGACCACAGACTTAGGTTGCCCTGTCAACCACTGAAATTGAACACATCAGGTTTTTTTCATTAATAAAAAAAAATACTTTACTTAGTGAATTGGGGAAAAAAAGATGACGATTAGAATAAACAACAACTGGGAAACAAGAGTAGAAGTCATTTATAAGAAGTATATAATATTTTATATATGTATTGTATGAATACTATAAGGTCCATTGTTACAGGTCAGCTTATCTAAAATTATGCTGCTAATCTGCTCAAGCTCTATTCACTCTCTGCAAGCCTCTAGGTGTGTACAAAAGCATCCTACCCTCCATATAAAAAAGCCTTTAATAAGCTGACCCATTCATGGTTATTTTTTCCCCTTTACTCACATCATGTTGCGACTGGTGCTACTTAAGTTTTAATACAACTTCAAATCATAAAAATTCACTCTGAAGCCTCTGGATCTGAACTTGCACTCAAAACAAAGCACACCACTCAGACATGCACATACAGGTTTGATTTAGAATTTAAAAAGCAAGCCTCTTTATCTTCCTTCCGTTAGCATATATACATCGTTTACAGTCATGAATTCATAATAGAATAAACAAGGAAAGCTAACGGTTGGGAGCTGAGTTGTGCACCTTGAAATCTGCCTAAGAACCCGGTCTGTCTAGCGACCCACTTTTTCTGTCTCCTGAAGACTGAACATATAAATACATACTTATGTGCATACTCAAATGAACAGGGTCCTGGAGATAAAGTAATGAATTGTAAATGTAAAAATGTGAGGCATCGTGGTGAAACCAGGCGCTCGTCAAACACACACACACACACACACATGCATGCATACATACATATGCACATACATACATACATACATGCATACAGTGCTATATTGCTTTTGATTATTTACGTCTATTCAACAAGCGTGTCTCATGACCGCAAGTTTATTTCGTAACATAACAAAAATCTAGACACTGTTCAGGTCTTGTTGCGCCACCATGAAAGTGAATGCCCACAACGTGTCAGTATCAAATCTGCATTATAATTTGTCCTCATTTTTGCTTCCCTTTTAAATACGGTCATGCGTGTCGATGTATTTATTGCCTTGTTGACAAACAACTTTGCATGACCAGGATACACATTCTTCTATTCTGCATATGTGAGATGGTGTGCTTGTTGGTTATAAGCATAATTATAAACCCAACCGTTGTGCTAATTTAAGGCCTATATTTTTTTTTCAGAGTAAAAGTAAAAGGCCCTACATTTTTTACAGAAGTCTCACCTGACTCCAGCTATTCATTACATTCTCAATGGCAAATCTGTTTTGATATTGCGTTCCTCATGAACAAAGAATCAAACAAGAATAGGTCGCTATAGCTGCTCGTCTTTTCCTCACCACCTCCATCTCTTTCTCTCTAAGAGTGCTGTGGTTGTTACAAAGGAAAACTGCCTCTTTACAAAATAGGCACAATGCTGTATCAAATCAAAACATTTTAAAAAGTTTGATGGAAATAGAAACAGCAGGTCAAAGTGAAAGAATAACGTTTGAAACTTACATGTATTAATTGTATGTAAATTTTGGAGAAATAAGTAATTTTAAAAAAAAATGTGTTCTCTTTCTATGAGTTTGTTTTTACTTCAACGGTGAATTTAAGTTCACACAACTGTGAAAATAGTACGACAAGAGCACCTCTGTTCTGTGGCCTATGTTATTATTTTTCTTTTTAAAGTTTTCGTCAGAGTTAATTAGATGTTTAGTCGGTCTTGCTTCCCACTATAACGTGTAACTTTATGAGGCGGGCGCTCTTGTGGTCTAGAGGTTACGGTGTTAGCCTCTCATCCAATAGGTCCTGGGTCCGAGTCCGGACAGCGATGGTAAATTTTCTTCTCTAAAATTTTCTCCTTTTACCTCCTTTCCTGCTCCCAAACAATAGTGTGTTGTCTGCTTTCGTCTCCACTTTCAGCCCCACACCCCCTTTGCCCCCTCCTCTGGGCTCCTGACTTTTTCAGCAGGCTTTCTACTGCTACTCCTTGGCTTCTTCTTACTGCTGTCTTTCAGCCACATCCCTGATCTTATGGTAAATAAGATATAACACCTAGCCTTTTCAGAAAAAGGTGAAAAATCTCTGAGGTCACTGTGCAAGTTGAGTGCGTTCAAAATTCCTTGGTGGTCAAAAATCAATAAGACTAGAGTAGGCTTCGGCCGCCACCTGGGCAAAATTCAAAATTTCCTACCAACTGAAAATGTTTAATGTGTCCGGCGCGCTCCTATTATCGTATGCAGTTGCGGCGCCGTAAACACTTATGCCAACCCCTCCCCCAAAAAAGCAACCAAAACAACTCTAGGAGGCTCTGCGGTCATGTTGAGACCAAAACGTCTCACATCTGTTCATGACCACGGCGTAGTGAATACAATAGTCAAACCTGCCCTAACGATCACCTGTATAAGACAACCAATCACTTGTACCCATGACCATTTCCCATTTCATACTGCTTTTTGGTGGAAACAAACCTGTCTTACCCCCCAAATCTCAAGCGTCCCGATTTTCCCGATTTCAATCACATGTATCCCGAATTTTTTGTCCCAATCTGCTGTTGCGCCGGATTTTTCTGAAAATTTACTCTGCCTTCTACTCTACTGCGGGAAGCACTCATTTAACTTTTTGTCAGTAGAAACTTGGAGCATTATTTTCCTAAATATTGATACTGGAAATAGTAGTTGACCCACCCCAAGTTGTGTTTGATCTTTGCCCGCCCTTTGAACTCTCCAATGATTGTCTGATAACTGTTACAATTGCGACAAACAAATAATCAACATTATTCGTAGTTCTACAGCCAAAGATTCGAGAGCGGTTGCAAACTACAACATCGACACGGACCCCAGACTTGTGATACTTACTCTCACAACCAACAATGTAAATCAAACAAAGAAGAACAGAGGAAAAACCACGACCAACCTAAGAAAATTGGAAGAACCAGACATCAAGAAGCCAATCGAGGATGACATTACCAAGGAGTACGATAAGCTGTCACCTGAGACCAAAGACGTAGCAGACAAATGGCAAACATTTTAAAAATCCCTGTCAGAAATACTGAAAAACAGCTGTGGCACCAAACGAATAGGCGGAAACAAAGGCAGAACAACATGCTGGTGGAATGATGAAACCAAAGAAGCAATTATAATGAAAAAGAAGATATTCAAGAAATGGCAGAAGTCAAAGACCAATGAGGATTATATAGAATACAGGAAAGTGAAAAGTGAGACCAAAAGAGTGATCAAAACTGCTAAAGAAAATGCATGGAAATTATATGGCGAGAAACTGACCAAAATCTGAAAAGGAAAACCCCAGAGAGTTTTATAAAAGTGTGAACAGCATGTGGGTAAGGAAAAACCCATACAACCCGACATGCATTAAAAACGATAAAGAGGGTAATACCATTCTCTGCAAACATACCAATAAGTAAAAATGGGAAAATTACTTTCAACCCAGACGCTTGCCACGGACAAGAAGAAGAGTTCCAACCTTGCCACGGACAAGAAGAAGAGTTCCAGCCATCATTTGGAGAGCAAACAGTACCACCAGTTACTCTCAGTGAAATTGAAAAGGCACTCAAAACCAGCCTCAAGAACAATGCCCCAGGACCAGATGACATCACAGTGGATGCCATAAGAGCTTGTGGAAACACCGGTGGTGTACTGAGGCTGAGGCGAACTTTAAATAGAGCCTGAGAGCAAAGGAAATGCCCAGAAGACTGGCAGAAAGCCACAATGGTTCCATTATGGAAAAAGAAAGGCAACAAACACGACTGCACAACATACAGAGTCGTCTCCTTGTTAAGCCATGCAGGGAAAATATACGCAAAGATATTATAACAGCGGATAAGACCTATTGTAGAGAGAAATCTGAGCAAAGCTCAGTTTGGATTCCAAAAGGGAAGAGGATGCATAGATGCTGTATTCACATTGTGACAGATAAGCGAGAAAACAGTCGAACACAACAAAGAATCCAACATCGTCTTTATAGACCAGGAGAAAGCTTTTGACAGAGTAAACCATGCAAACCTCAGGAAGACACTCAAAAAGTATGGCGTCAGAGGACAACTGTTAGATAACGTCAGAGCTCTATATACCAACAGCAGAAGCTAGGTAAGAACGAAGGAAGGCAATACTAACTGGTTCAAAGTAAGATCTAGAGTACGACAGGGAAGCATTCTATCTCCCCTCCGGTTTATAATATATATGGACACAATAACTCAAGACGCAAACCAAAGCCCAAAAAGCCAAAATGAACTTCTATTCGCAGACGACAAATGTCTTATTCATCCAAACCAACAAAGCCTCCAAAATCACACTACCAAACTGAACAACAGCTGCAAAAATTTAACATGAAAATAAGCTCATCAAAAACAAGTTATGAAAGAGAGTCGCAACCATAGTCCCCTGAACATCCATGTCAATAGTAAACAACTGAAACAGGCGAAGAAGTTTAAATATCTTGGAAGCACTTTTTCTGAAAGGGGGTTCATTGACAGAAAAATAGAAAAACGAACACAAAAGCTAACGCTGTCACCAACCAGCTCGCACCCCTCCTATCTCATCCAAACATCTCCATGGACACAAAGAAACAGCTTATCACCTCAATATTCATACCAACATTATGCTACCAGTGCCAGACCTGGACAATAAGTAAAATCCATGAAAGCAAAATCATTGCATGCGAAATTAAATGTTTCCGCAAAACCCATAACACCACAAGACGAGACAGGCAGAGAAATGAAGAAGTGAGAGCAGCTACCGGCACTGAGTGAACACCACAAGACGAGACAGGCAGAGAAATGAAGAAGTGAGAGCAGCTACCGGCACTGAGTCCTGCCTGCATTACATAGAAAAACAGAGAATAAAATAGCTTGGCCACCTGTTATGAAAGTCACCTGGCCAGCCAGCCTCGAGAGTCTACAACACCAAGCATCCAGGCTATAAAGGAAGAGGAAGGCCACGCAAAAGGTGGATCGAGGGTGTCAAGAAAACCCTGAGCAAACAATACCACAACTGAGAGAGCTGCGGAGCTGGCCTACCATTGAAAACTGCATCTCCCCTCGAAGCTTAACGGCAACAGAGGATGAAAAAGTAAGAGAAAAAAAGTAATTCGTAGTTTTGCTATTACTTTCAAAACAAGCCTCGTCCAAGGTCTAGTAACCGCGCGTTCACACCAAATTAATACGTGGACAAGCAACAGTCGTGCTTACCCTTACACAACTGAGCTGACTAGACTAAAAAAAAATAACGATAAAACATGTACATGCACACACACACACACACATATAAACATATAATACACACACACACACTCACTAAAATTATCAGGCAATGTGCCTTTTGTTAAAATGAGCCAAAGGTGTTACAATGAAAAGTAAAAACTCAGATACACGCCAAAGCAAATTGTGACAAACAAACACCCATGTTCATGAGACTTAAGGCAACAATAATTTGAGGTGTACAGAAACAATAAAAAGCATAACACCAGCTATGTTTTGATTTTACATGCACAATCGGTAGTGTTTGGTCTCCTGGACCAGGGGAGATTCTTACTCAACTCACAGAGAGAGTAGAAATAAAAGCAATCTGTAGTGGAACAAAACAACACAAAAATAGAAAGAACCAAGCTTTGGGACCCCCCCCCCCCCCCATCCCAGGAACAAAACCATAACTATGTTAAAAGAAGAGGCACCAACAATGTTTATGCAGGCACTACAAAAACTAAACAATTAAGAGTGCTGTACCAGATGATTGCTAAACAATGACATAAATAGAATTTAAAGAATTTGGGACATACAGACACACTCATCAAATTACTAATTCAAATTCAATGAACATGCACGTTTAGGACCTCTTGATCGTTTAAGTCCTGTTCTAGACGACGATATTTTGCTTTGCCCACAAAATCAAATGACGGCACTATCTCATCCCATTGGCTCAAATGGAGATACGACAAAACAAAATGTATCGAAATTAATGCTTCTGGAGTTACGATAGTTGTACTCTCTTCCTTTTAAATCCGCATTGGAAATACTACAACTGGGTTCTGGACATCTCAACAAACACTGTGTTTAGAGTCTTGAAACTTATTTGAGACACAATGCGTGGGAATTTGAGTACCTGAGTGGTCTTATCTCAAGATTTCATGAAAGGTGGACATACGACAGCTGTACTCAGGGCCGCCGATATATTGCACAATGTACCAAGTAAAATTTGCATACTGTTTATAAGGAATCGAACAGAGCTGTTCTTTTATTTAAGAGTCACTTTTCAGTGAGAATGTACTTTGGAGATTAAAACAGAACAGAATGCCGCCATGTCAACTGTCTTCACTCTGAAAACTGTTTTTATCCACAATGAAACAGAATGACAATTTGGTAAAGGACAAGTAGTAAATTAACATCTTACCTGAATAGTTCTGGCAATAACCAAAGCTTCTCCGCCAGGACCTGTTTTGATATTTTGAGTTTCCCTGTATGTTTTAAACGCATCCTCCATGCTGCAAAATGAATTATATCAGTGCAGTGACAGCTCATGTTCAATAACAGTTCAAATGATTATAATGAGAAACTGACCAGAGCAATAGAAAATTCATAATGCCATTTTCCCCCCTAATATGTCAGCTTTGTAATCATTAATGACTACAACAGCACAATGTAACATATGTGAACTGTCAGCGCAAGATGCTGGGAAGACTGAAATACTAGTGTCATAACCAGTCGAACTGAGGCTATCTGAGGTCTACTGGTACTTTCAAAATTCACTGGGCAAGACCAGCGGAGCCCGTCACTTTTTATTGGCTGGACAGTTGACAAGAGATTTATTGCAGCTAATAATGTTCATTCAGCTTCAAGTAAATCTTAATTAATATTTATTGTCAACATTCAAAAACACCCTTTGCTGATTTGAAGGCATCCAAAAAAACATGATACGGGTTCACAGATAAGTTGATGCACTTCAGATTTTCTTTCCTTTGTCTCTGTTTTATTAATGGTGGCTCGCAACTTTGTTGTCACTGCCTACTGTCGCGACAAACGACTTTGCGCAAACACCATGTTCCTAGCCGTCGATTTTACAAATTGTCTACTGGGCCCAAAGAGAAAGCCTCTAGTTGCAAATACGCTTCTCAGCTGCCTACTTTTATTGAAGGATAAGACTATTTAATACAAGTACCGGTATTTCATCAGTAACGTTATGAGCAAAACTGTCTCTAGTTACCGTCAGTACATTTATTGCCAGCATGGCTCAAATTTGTATTGCCTGTAGGTTTTTGGTCACCCATGGTTCTGTTTGAAGTTCTATTTGTCACTTACTTCATACTGAAACCTTTCCTGGCAGACTGTCGCTTTGAAGAATTGGCTAGTCAAGTTATAAGAAAATTATTTACAGAGGATGAGAGTCAGCGAGAGGCACTCAGCTGACAGAGGGTGGGCCGCTTAAACATTAGCCTACCCTGCCCTCCCCTTTTCCATCACCGCAGCCAGACACTGAGTTCTTTATAATTAGCATTTGAAACAGTACCTCACTTACCATTATGCAGTCTTCTGAGAAGTGCGACTAAAAGGTTTGATTATGACCAGGGATTGTATGCTATGTTCAGAGCGTGTACATTTTATGTACACTGTTGTACCTGATTCTAGACTTGATCTGCAAGGAACAGCCTCATGCCATTGGCATGGTACCAATTATTTCTTCAGACTATCTTAATTGTATTAAAAATTTTTAACATTATGTAGATACGCAAATGTTTTAGAGCTCAGTAAGTAATTGGTATGTGTGTGTGTGTGTGTGTGTGTGTGTGTGTGTGTGTGTGTGTGTGCACGCATGCGCCTGCGCGCGTGTGTTGTGAGGAATAGTGAAGATGTATGTATACAACGGAGAGTTTGTGCATGTTTTGCTGTTTTTAGTTGGGGGGGAGGGAGGTGTTGGAGATAAAGGGGAGGTGAGAAAAGAGAATCAATATGCTAGGCCAGCCCGTCAGTTCTACAAACCACAAGCTGCCCCTGCCAAAGACCCCTCTTTCCATCTCAAATTAGAAAAGTAAAATTAGATAATCTCATAGTTTTGACTTATTCAGGTTATATCTTTAAACTTTTAACACATATCATAAAATATATTACAAGCGAACATGTGCAGAAAATATTGAGAACCCTTGCTCTATATAGACCAGGGCAATTACAAACTCACAAGTGTCAAGCAACTAAAATAGAGTAGGTAGTTAAAAACTTACAGGTTTAATTGAAATTCTACGGAGATCTACCAAGGAGAAAGGTGATCATTTGAATCAGGTGGTTAAGGATGGTGTTATTATAATATATTTTAAAAGGAAAGGGGGAAAACCGGAAGTGGTCATTTGTACAGATGATCATCTTGGACATGTGGTCATTAGAGTAGGTTAAATTGTAGCTTGCAATCCTGCAACAAGCCACTTTTCAGGCTGGCTCTCGCATACAGTAGAGACGGGCGGGAAGCACTTTTTCCTTCCCGAGCGAGAAGACCGAGAAGCTGACCTATTTCTCGCCGAGACCAGTCCCGGGAACGAGAAATACTTCCCGTCTCGTGTCTCAAGCAATGCTTCTTGTCTCATGACCAATTTCTCTTCTCGCCCCGAAGTTCGAGCCGCTCGTTCAGCGAAAAGGCCGGCCATGGCTGAGATTTCTCTTCTCGCCCCACAGAACGAGCAACTCATTTAGCGGGAAGGCCGGTCGTTGCGGGGATTTAAACTTAGAAACTAGGCTTGCCCTGGTGCGCAGGCGCAGGCGGTGAAGGAAGGTAGGGAGACGACCTAGGCCTAGGCCCTGATCAACTCCCCACTCGTCTTGTCTCGCCACCCTCTCCCCTCCCCTTCAGTTTCACACACAGGACGGCACGGTGATGGGTGGCACTGTCTGCGTTGTCATTTCTCGCCTCTCACTCTCGTTACTGTTACTCGTTTTGTCAAGCCAATGAGCAGTACCACGTCTTGGTACCGGGCAGTAGTTTAGTGCTCGGGAAGCGACGGGAAGGGCGTTTCTCGCGAGAAACGAGTACTCGGCTCGTCTCATGCCCGCCCCAAGCATACAGTGGGCAAAAAATACTGAAGGTGCTACTCTGAGTGAGTCAGCTTATAACCGGTCTCCACTGAGCACAAGTACGACACCAGACAAGAAAACATCAAGTTTTAAAAGTTATTACAGTAGAACATGACTATAGCGGCACCCGCTGCAGCGGGATCGTCCCTACAGTGGGACCTTACAGGAATCTCCTTTTTTGTCTATGTAAACCCGATTAACTGTGCTTGGGTTTAACGCACGGTGTCACTTTTTGCCTGATTCTGCTACCTTTAGTTAGTGTGACTCAGCAGCTCGTCGGAGCTCCCTGGCTCAGGGTCACGGGGTTAATGAGCCCTGAAGCGACTTTGCCGGTGTCGGTTAAGAAGTTCGCATTTTTGTCTACGTTTTATACAATATAACTTCTTCCCCATTCAACACAGCAAACCATTACGTGGATGTACTAAAAACTCGACGTCTTGAGATTTATTCTGCATTAGAATGGTTAATTACTGTGTCTTAGTTCTTGTTCTAGACAAGTGTTTGTAGAGTACCCAATTTGTCTTATTTTAGTTACATGCCTATGAATAAATGATTGTTTATTTCAAAAAGGCACGACAGATCTCTCCAAAAATATGTGTCAAACTGACTACAAATATCATGTCTTTTACCATGAGAAATATTAAATCTGTGCAAGTAGTAATAGTCAAGTTATAAAAGAAGAAAGATGCACAACTGCATTTTTTAACTAAAGACGCTCAGCGTTAGCTCTTGTTCTACCATTAAACAAGAGAAAGTTACCCTGCTTTTGTTCATGAATCATGCTGTGTCTGTGGCAGTCTACATACAACTAAGAAAAATGTATTATGTGATTTTTTAAAAACACGAAACAGTGTTAATACATGGGTAGAGATGAACTTCTTGTATAGAATAAAAATAACGACAGCTAACACATTCATTCTTAGTTTTTGTGTAGGACATATATGCGCCGACAATTATGGATGTAAAGAAATCAGAACATTGTCAGTTATTGCAAATGGTCATAGAAACGAAAATAAAAGCTGGAAAAGTCTGGTGCTGATTCAGTGTCACTGGAAAGCTAGAAATTATTCTTATAACACAATTAGAAGAAGTCATCCCTGTTATTCAGTTAACTTACAAAACCTAGATTTAGCGTTGTAAGAAAAATTAGGAATTTACCGAGTGTAACAGATACTGTTGGTGTATTATATTGTAGATGGATTCTGGCACTAAAATCAGTTGGTAGTTTTTCATAGAGACTTCAGGGTAATTTTGATCAACTTTAGAGAATATATGCGAATATTTATGATTATATAAGCAACATAAAGTTGTATTAGGAGGAATTACTTTATAGCGAATTGTGTGCTAGATGGAAAAAGTAACAAAATTACAGCTTCCTATAGCATGCGCAGATACCATCTTTCCTGAGTATCTGCACCTATGTTACGTCGTTCATGTTCCAAAAGTTCGACAGTTTTTGTTGTGCTGTTTTTTTTATATTGATTTTTTTCATTTATTTTGGTAATTCCCCTTTGCATTCCTATAGCAGGAACTTCCCTACAGCGGGACTTTTCTTCTGGAACTAAAAGTCGCACTATAGCCATGTTCTACTGTAATTTGTAATTAACTGCTAGGAACAACAGTCATGTACTAAAAGTGAATTTAACAACTCACCATCAACAACCTAACTTGATTATGAATGTTTTAAAACTTTATCAAGACAATTTAGTTCTTTTCCTTTTTAGTAGAAGGCTGTTTCCACAGTTCCAGGTTGTTGGGAAACTGGGCCCCAACAGTAAGACTAAAATATCTGATAAAAAATCTTCCTTATGTGAACATCAAACTTATTTCTCTTACATACAAGGCTAACTAGGTAACCTGTACACCATTACTTGCTCTGGTAGCTGTAACAGGAATACAAATAAAACATAGGCCTAAGCATGACCATTTAATTTTGCTTCTATGAAAAAATTAATAAGACGCCAGACAGACGTAACATTGTTAAGAAGTAAATTATTTCATATTGATTAATGCTTTTATCACACACAAGTACAAACCCACATGTATCTCGAATCATTCCCAAGCACATAGTAGGTGCCAAGGAGAAGGTTGTGCCTGAAAAAAAGAAAAATTTCTAAACATGCACAGACATTCTTTGTCCTAGATATTTCTTATGACATTATGACATTATCTCATTTTACTCGTCTAAACCAAACAAACCAAACCTCATGTCTCACATTAAGAACTGGATTTGACAATGGTTTACCTGTTTCCCCTCTCATGCTGTTCACTATTGTCATCACAGAAAGACTGCCAATGTCATTTATGTCCATAAATAGTGGGGGGGGGGGGGGGGGAGGATTGGTATTTTTTGTTAACTCACATATATATCAGATGAAAGGTGAAATTCTAGAAATAATACATTTTGTACTTTTGTCTTTTATTGTTGGTAATCACCAAGTAAGATCTAGTTTAAAAGCAGAGCAAAAAAGACTCCTACGATCAGTTATTGAGGCAGACAATCTCACTATTATTGAATAGTTTGACTAAACAAAATGCATAAAAAGTGTGAAATCAAGAAGGGAGAGAACGAAAAAAAAGACTATAGATCAAAATAACAAAAGTATCAGTAAAAAGCAAAACCTAAAACCTAGTGATACTTTTTGAACAAAAATGTGCTCTATTGCGCCTCATCATAAAACTTTCCAGTAACAAATCACTTACTTATCAAGGAATTCCTTGGTAACCGTTACATTGTAAGTGAGAAATGGATGTCCGATAACAATGCAGTTCATGAAGCTTGACCTGAGGAGCAGGACAAATGACATGGTTTCGGGTGCAGGGAAGCAAGGCCGCCCATTGTCCAGGAGATAGGTGGTCATTTTAGACAGGTGGATGTCTTAGATGGTATTTAGAAAAAAAATGCAAGTGGGGAAGAGGGAAGTGGTTATATGTGCAGTTAAGTGTCTTGGACGGGTGGCCCTTAGAGCATGTTCGACTGCATATATATATTCATAATAAACATACTATGGCCGATCAGTTAGCTCAGTTGTTATTATACTGGACTATGAAGTGGATGGCCTTGGTTCGAATGCCAACAGGGTGTTCTTGCACTAGAGTTGTTTCTCAAAGCCCTCAACCAAATTGGCACTGCTTTAAAGGAGATGGACATTACATTTGAAAGTCCAACGTCTTAAATAATCTAAATGTGTTGAAAGGGTGTTAAACTTAGTTAAATCCTTACATTCAATTATTTAATTGTACATACCATATTAAAGATAAATTGTAAATGCATGAGCAACACTTCTCGCCTTACCCATGGCGAACAACATGGAAGTCATCTAAAGAGCTTTCACTGTGCTCTGAATCTGCCTGAAACAAAAGAAAGCAAAAATAAATAATAACTGGAACCACAGGCATTTGATGCGTTGGTAAAAAAAAATAAGTTCCTGATTTCATACATAACCAAAATAAATAAATAACACTTTATTTATCCATAAGGGGAAATTTGGGCTACAATGGCAGGCACACATGAACGCCAGCCCACATCCACACAAACACACACACATACATTTAAGAACACAAACATACACCATACAATGAATACCAAATACATATAATTACACTAATGCAGACAATTTTACAAACATGCCACTGCTGGTTGCCATTAAGTAGCATTCCGTTTTTTTTTAGCAAGGGTTATCATGGCTTGCCCAAGGACACACTCAGTGACCACCCATCTAAGCACGATGTCACAGACAATGATTATTTGTGTGTCTGAACTTACTAAACTCTCCACCACTTGAGTAGAACCATGGTTTTGAAAATATAATTATCACTAAAAATGGTGCCTTTTTCTCTTTTTTAGTTTGCAAAGCCAATTTAGTTTTTTAGTACCATCGAAACAACAAAGTTCTCGAGATGCAAGGACTAAGCAAATAATTTGAGCACTTATAATGAAACTGAAAGCGTAAACTGCCAGTCAAAACTACAATCATAAAATTTTTTTAAAGCTTTTAGCAAAACTTTCAATTTCATTCTATTTAGGGTGGTTCTACAAATCGCTGCACAGGGTAAAACAAACCCTAGTGACACAACCATCAGTCACTAAATTCTGACCGTGGCCTTCAAATGATATTCTTTGCAATCAGTAAACACTGACTTTACCTGAGCGAAATTGACAGGGCAGTCAACACTTGAATCTGATGGTCCTGAACTTTTTTTCAGGAAGCTTAATTTCTTCATATTTAAGTCCGCGATGTCAGGTTAACAGAGTTTCATCACACCTTAAAATGAAATTTTAGATGAAAAAATTTCACATTAAAAGACAGTCTCCGAACAAATATGAGGGAAGGAGGGAGGGAAGGAGAGAGGGAGAGAGAGAGAGAGAGAGAGAGAGAGAGAGAGAGAGAGAGAGAGAGAGAGAGAGAGAGAGAGAGAGAGAGAGAGAGAGAGAGAGAGAGAGAGAGAGAGAGAGAGAGAGAGAGAGAGAGAGAGAGAGAGAGAGAGAGAGAGAGAGAGAGAGAGAGAGAGAGAGAGAGAGAGAGAGAGAGAGAGAGAGAGGCAGGCTTGCTAACAGGCAGGTTGGCATGCAGACAGATAGACAGACAAGTGTACAGAAAGACAGACAGTACGCAATTCAGTGTCAGTTTGAGTTGAAGAGAAACACATTGACTATAACAATGTTCATTTTGAGCACTAAAAGATCACAGGGAAAAATGAAAGAAAAATAAACAAAAGTGAAAAAGTAGAACATAGATCTTCCCAAAGCTGTATCAGTCAGAGGACAGGACCTAAGATGTTTTTTAAAGAGAAAGATGCAGCACAAAAAAAGCAAAAGAAGGCAAGTTTTGCAAAGTGTATTGACAAAATTAACCCATTTCTGCTGAAACATTAAGTTAATTTCATTAAGACAAAAAAATTAAAATAGTTGGGTTTTTTTCATTTTTCTTAGTCTATGAATCAGAAGCACTTTCAGTTTAGTGGACCAAAAAACACAAAATTATATTAAAGTTCAGAGGTCTCTTTTTCTAAAGATTTGGCCATTGGATGACACAGACATTTGGTGGACTTCAAAGGACGCCTCCCAGCTCCTACTGGTTAGCTTCCCGGTTACCACTTTTGTTTATTCATACATGCACTTGCAATATGATCTATGGGCATTCTTAAAGCTTAAAATAAGATGTATGATGTTTTCTTGCCTTTTTTAATTATGGGAGAGGAGAAAAGCCCTTCAGCAATTGAACAGCATTGAGCAAATTCATGAGCCTACATAATATGTCCTAAGTGTACACGCAGAGCATATATATCTATATGCCATCTTCTAGCCTAAGCCACTAGCACCCCTTCCACCCAAGCACCCCTCTTGTATCTCCCTTTTCTTCATTAGGGCAAAGCCAAGAAATTTTAAAGCATAAACATTATTACACATCATTACAATGCTTCTGCCTGTACTTATCAAAGGGCTGGTGAGCTTGAAAGTGGACAGGGCAGTGTGAAATTTATACAAGTAGAGGCAGGGTACCACCAAAGTGTCTCCATTTATATTATGCATCACCATGCAACAGGGTTGGGTTGATTTTTAAATCAGTTGATTTTTTAAATTTAAATCAACTTGATTTTTTAAATAAAAATCAGTGATTTAAATCAATTTTTTAAAAATGTATTTTTATTCAGTTTTTACATATTTCAACATTCAGAATTCCTTTCCTTGGTTTCATAAAACAGATATAAGGTTTAGTAGACTAATATAATCATGCTTAAAAGTCTGCTTTCCCCCCTTTCACTGTAAAATAATACAGTATTCAATTTACTTTTTTTTCATAATTGAAATCAGAGCTGGTTTGATTTAAATCAGTTGATTTTTTAAATTTTAATCAACTTGATTTTTAAAATAAAAATCAGTGATTTAAATCACTTTTCAAAAAATGTATTCAGCTTTTACATATATTTAAACATTCAGAATTCCTTTCCTTGGTTTTATTAAACAGATATAAGGTTTAGTAGACTAATATAATCATGCTTAAAAGTCTGCTTTCCCCCCTGTCACTGTAAAATAATACAGTTCTCAATTTACTTTTTTTCATAATTGAAAACCAGGGTTGGGTTGATTTAAATCAGGTCGATTTAAATCAGTTGATTTTGTTTTATTTAAATCCACTTGATTTAAAAAATAAAACTCAGTGATTTAAATCACTTTTTAAAAATGTATTCTGTTTTTATATCTTTAAACATTCAGAATTCCTTTCCTTGGTTTTATAAAACAGATCTAGGTTTAGTAGACTAAAATAATCATGCTTAAAAGTCTGCTTTCACCCCTGTCACTGTAAGTAGTAAAATAATGACTGTATTCAATTTACTTTTTTTTTTTCATAATTGAAATTAGCTTTTTCTTTTTCTTTTTATACAAACACAAGCGCGCGCACACACACACACTGTAATAAAATGCAAGTTTATCTATGCATAATTACCCCCCCCCCTTCCTTTAAGACTGACATTTTCTTCATTTTTTGTCTGTAGCCATAATTCACTGGATATAGCAGATTAAGGCTTTCTAAAATTGCAGTTGCTTAAATTAATCATTAGTTAAAATAAAGACAATGCATTTTGCACTAAAAGAACTTACTTTTAGCCACCAAAAATCCCAAACTGAGTCGGCATTTTTTTAAAAAATAAAAATTTTTTTAAAAATCCGATTTAAATTTTAAAAATCTGATTTAAATTTTAAAAATCGATTTTTTAAATTTTTATCAAAAAAATCAAAAAAATCACCAACCCTGCCATGCAAACCTCTTCCCCCCCCCCCCCCCCAACACACCTTTTATCAAGCGCAACAATACAATGAGTATTTAAGGATTTTTTTTCCATCCACAATATTAGAGTAAAGTAATCACTGAGAATTTAAAAAGTTTATTTTCCTTAGGCAAGGTTCCTAAGCATGTTAACCACACAGAAGAAATTTGGTAAACACTGTTAAAGCTGGCTCTTACTCCAGGGAAGACTAACTTTTTCCACAGAGACAAGAGTAATTTTAAACAAAGAGCTGAATGTTAACTCATTCAATTAGAGCAAAAACGTCTGCACTTCGCTGCTACGCTGAGCAGTGTTTGAGAGAACGGGTTTGGCTTAGAAATAACACACACTGAAAAGAAAATATATCTCAGTGGAATCCTAAACATCAAGTGCGTTCGCTAACTCATGTAATTTTAGATAAAGGCAGAGCTACCTCTAAAGTTTTCCTGAACTTTTCACTTGATTAAAGAGATTACAGGATTTTTGTGAGAATTCTCGTTAAACGGGCAGAAACCAGCTGCGCCAGAATTTTGGTCAATTGCATTGAATGAGTAAAGAGTTATATTATATTATGTTTGTGGTTCAATCCATACGTGGACCATGACATCTTATATTTTTGGGGCTGGGATGGCTAGTTATTATTTTCACCAATACGTTCATTCCATCCATAAACAACAGAGCCCTTGAGCTAAGGGAAAAGCCACAATAGTATTAATAGGCCTACGCGATGACGTGTCTTCATCCTATAGAAATAGATTATAGATCTAGACTAGATTCTAGATCTACAGGCTAGGCCTATTGGAGATTGATCGACGTTGGAAGGCAAACATACAGAAGGCTAGATCTAGAATCTAGTAGGCAACTTAAACTCTGTAAAAGAAAGCCCATTAAATCTGTAAATGTGTCAACAGTCAAATAAAATAAATAAAATATAAAGATTATTATGAGCAGGGGCGGTTTGTTAACTGGGCAAGACCGGCGGCGCCGGTCAAATTTTTGTCAGCTGGACTGTTGACAAGAGATTTATTGCTGATGATGATTTTCATTCTCGTCAAGCCGTCACGTCGTGGAACTTCGTACGAGGACAAACGAACACGGCGGGTGGACAAATACATCAACTGCCCTGAGACTACTAAAAGCGAATATTATCTCTTGATTGCCAAGTTGGCCTCCGTGTTGCTTACAAAATCGGTAATGAGACTGTCTTGAATCTTGAGCAGCACAGACACATGAAATATTTCATCAGCAATACATGTACTTATCATTCAGCCTTTCTCTAACTATCATCAAAACATTTATTGTCAGCATGGCACTAATCTTTTTTGTTTATTGAATTTTTAGCCACCTTTAGTTCCTGTTTGGGGACTATTCATCGTTTTCTTCCCACTAATAACGTACCTGGCCCATATGAGTCTAGCCGGCGAAAAGAGGAATCGTCTAGTGAAGATATATAAGGAGAATTATAACGAGGAGCGACAGGCTCTCGGCTGTCAGAGTCTGGGCCGAAAACAATGGGCCTACCTCCTCACTTCCCTCCCCTTATCCACCGTCACCCCAGCTAGACACCAAGATCTATAATTAGCATTTGACACGTTTCCCCACTTTGTTACAACAGTGTTCTGAGAACTGAGAAGTGTGATGAAGAACGTTTGATTACATAATGATGGAAAACTGTTGTGCGCTAACTTTGTCCAGCTTTTTATAGTATCTGATCATAGACTTAATCTGCATGGGACAGCGTCATTGGTACAGTATCAATTGACTTTTTGCCATCATACAGTACTGTTCTTATTACATATTTACAGGTCGAGTGCACGTCGATATTGTGTGTGGGTGTGTAGAAAGTAAAAGTACCGGAGGCCATGACCAGCAGTTTATTGTGCTTCTCACTTTCAGTTTGTTTTTTAGCATAGACTCTAGAAGTGTTTCTTTTTCTATGCTGTTCAAGTCAGTTTCTATTAACTCAGTAACTTCCATCATACATTAATCATAATATTTTTTCTTGACACTACCATATTTCAGCTCTTTCATATTATATTAAAATGTTTACAGTGGTGTGTGTTTGTGAGTGGGGGAGCGGATGGGGATGGCAAAAGTAGGGGTATAAAATGAGGACAGAGAGAGAGAGAAAGAGAGAGAGAGAAAGAGAGAGAGAGAGAGAGAGAGAGAGAGAATGTGTTTGTGTGTGTGTGTGTGTGTGTGTCTGTGTGTGTGTGTGTGTCTGTGTGTTGTGAAGGAAGGGGGTGGGGGAGGAAGAAAGAGTCTATGTGAATGATGGCCGGTCAGTTATAAAACCACGAGCCGCCACTGATTATGAGTTAAAATACCACAGTATTCAGTCAGTGTAATTTATACAATGTATTACTGTATGACGGCTGTGACGTAGATCTAGATCTAGACCTAGATTTAGATATCTAGGCTAACTGTTCTGAATGATCGCTGTTCAAATGCTACACGACGCACCATCTTCAGTTCGTCGTCACAAAATCACAAAAACAATTGAGTGAGACCCATTAAAATGTGTCTTACGAGCATAGATCTAATATCATACTTTTTAAGTTGTATCATCTCAGGGACATATCTTTAAACAAATATTTCCAGCAACAAACCAATAGATCAAGAATCTAGATTTAGAAATCTAGATCTAGACACTCAAAATAAATCGCACATCAGTCTCTTTTGTATTTCTCCAGCGCCATTCCATTTCCATTCTGATATTGTATTCGTACTCATGTAACTTCTTGACCAATGAATGAATCCGACTATTCCAAGTGGTGTTTTATCTTTGTTTATAGGCCCTATTGTAGATTTAATTGGAGTATAGGCCTAATGAGACATGAAGGTTAGTTTGAGAGGAAATTAGGAACAGGTGGTTTTCCGGGGGTTTTTTTCAGATGCATGAATGTATATTTTGCATTTTGTTTCGAATGAAACGTGGTTAATTTTGTTCCCGATTTCTTTCAATTATCGATACCACCATTCCCTCATTGACTGGTTATGTGGTTATGTCCCCTCTTTGATGTCCCCTCAAATATTTGCCTCCCCTATCCCTAAAAATTCGTGTAGACAATGACAATTAGTACATGTATTAGGATTAGGCCTAACCTAAGCCTAGGCTAAAAGTAAAAGTCCCTAGCCTCGCCTAGAGCCTAGAGTCAAAGTCAAGGCCCCTATTCCGCATGCCACATTCATGCTTCAGGTGCTTAGTGAACTGTAATGTAGCCATAGGCCACATAAGCACTGCAATTATGACAAAGAAGAAGACAAAGATCAGTTCAACAACAAACTTAACAATAAAGATTTCACGACATGATAATATGTTTGTGTAATGGGTGGCATGAATTCAGAAGTTGGGGACACAAATCGAGGAACAGATTGAAGATACAATAGGCCAACATGGAAGCATAGATGAAAGATTAATTGAGATGTGTCACAACTAAACAACCTGATTGAAGTTGTAGGTGGACCGTTTTTACATAATATAAAGGTGTCTATAAACTTGCTTGGTGTCCAGCAGATGGAATTATTACAAATCAAATAAACCATTTTTGCACCGGAAAGAAATTCAGAACATCTTTAATTTAATCATTGGTGGCCTTACGCACAGCTTGGGTTAGATCATTAGGTCATTTCCTCTGTATATTAACAATCAATTGGAATTGAAACGGCATTTGAAAACAACCACACAAAAGCGTTTTAATTCAACAAAACTCGGAAAACCAGACGTTGTTATTCAATTTAGAATAAACTAACCTACTATTACAAGCATGAAGGTATTTTATCATAAATTACTTATGGAGATATTGGTGATACTTGCGAAGATCTATGGATCGCTGTAAAAATATGAACGTATTTGGTCAATTGTGAAGATGGTGGTGATGCATGCGAAGATCTATGGATCCCTGTAAAGGAGCATAAGCTGAGGAAGCTCTTGTGTGTGGAACAATATCATCTGAAGAATGAATTCAAGAAGAAACTTGCGAAGCTAGGAAAGAAAGAAAAGGAAGCAAAATTGAAAAAAATTGAAAATGCAGCCGAGCTGCAGCAAATGATAAAATGGAGGCTCAGGAGAGATAATTATTTAACGTGTGAAAGTTCCATACGGGATCTTTGAAATTTTTGTCCTTACTTTTCTTTCCCCCACCCTCCCATGTTAAAATCTCCAAGCTTTTTCGATTAGACAAACTTTGTAGCACTTTGGAACCTATTGTTATTTTTAATAGTATGGCTACTACTTATTTTATATATATATATATATATATATATATATATATATATATATATATATATATATATATATATATATATATATATACACATATATATATATATATAATTTTTTAAAATTAATTTTTTTTTTTCATATGTGCGTGCGGACTGCCAGTGGAGGCGTATTGTCAGTTTCATCGCGTACATGATCTGTTCCTACCCTCTCCTGGTGTCTTTCAGTGGTAGGTGAGGAGCGGGTGGGGTTGTTGTTGTTGTTGTTTTTTTTTGGGGGGGGGGTTGAGCTCTTTTCTTTATCATTACTCTCTAATTACTCCACTTCTGACCACACTGTTGTATGTGCCTTAAACTTCTTACAAATACAAACTAAGAATTCCGGATGCGGCTTGTCACTTCACTAATGTGAGGGGGGTGTTTTAATGTGTGATATTTATCGCATTGATACGATATTGACTGTTTTGTAAAGAGAAAGTACGGAAACTTGACTAGATTTTGTGACGAAAGTAAAATCGGCCTCTGGGAGGTGAACATATAATACTGTACTCCTTGATCCTATCTAGGCCTACCCTGGGATCAGGGGTGTAGAATAACGTGATTAAGGATAAAAAATCAGACGCTGGCAGGGATTTAACTCGGAATCTTCGGGTTGACAGGAGAATACCATATCCATTGAATTACTGATTCACGTAATGGCTTAGTACGGAGAGACTTGAAAAAAACTTCAAACAAAAGTTCAACAAAATATTATTTTATTGGATTTACAATTCTATTGTGCACACTTTTTTTATTATCTCCCCAAGCGGGCTCAAATCGATTGTATAAGTAAAGGGAGTGGGTTTAGTTGGGCTAAAAAATCAATAGTGTTGTCGACAGCTGAGAAAGTGTCATATTTTAAAAATCTTCCCCAGACCCCCCCCCCCAAAAAAAAAAAGAAGAAAAAAAAGAAGAATCCCATGTATGATTTTTCAAAAGAAGCGCCGATTGAGGGTCTCAAAATAAACAATTTACATGATTAGTTCAATATGTTATCTGGTAGGGGAGTTGTTTATACACACGCATGTAACCGAGAGAACCTAGACCTGAAAAGAGCTTTAGCAGAGAAGGAAACTTCAGGGCTTTTCAAGGTCGTGGCGAAAGAGACTAAGGAAGCTATTTAAGAAAATTTTGGTCAAGAATTGGCAGATGACAAAGCACTCTACAGATTCTGGCAGCTGTACAGATCAATGATAAAAAAGAAGCTCGTCAAATGTCAACCAGACTTCAAAAGAAAGGACGAGGTGTGAGTGCGGTCAGACTAGGGGAAAGGTGGGGCACTGTTTGCCCGATAATTTAGCAGACAGACCAGGGCAACGAAGGAGAACGAAAAAAAGCTCCTCTGTGCAATACGCCAGCGATACGCCAATGAACTCTTCATCTACGCTCTCAGTCCCAAGTCCAGATGGTGTACGGTTCTCTCACATGAAAAATTTTGACAAGGGTAGCATCAGGGACCTTACAGAAATCCTCAACAGGAGTCTGTGGAACGGAGAGATACCGGATGACTGGTTGGACAACCACTTAGTAGCACTCCCCAAGCCTGACAAGGACCAGAGTAAGATAGCTGCTTATCGAGTAGCCAAGATGCAAAATTGCGTGAGCAAGCTGTTAAAAAAGGAGGTGGGGTAGTCGATCGCAAAGGAGCTAGGAAAGTAAAAGGCACTTCCAGCGACTCTGGGTAGCTACAGAAGGGGGAAGGAAACGTGAATAAATGCCGCTGTCCTAGCATCAGATCATATTTATAATGGGTTTGAAAGAGGCGAGGAGACTCTAATAGCAGCGCATGACCTCGAGGATGCCTACAATAGGGTTGAGTATGATGTCCTTTTGAGAACAATTGATGTTCGTCCTTCGCTGGAGAAGATGACCTTGACTTCACATCATTTGAGGGGTGGGGTGTGTGCGGAGATGGCTGATCAGGCCGATCTTCGCTCGGAAATGTCTGTTGCAGTGGGTGCAGGGTATGTTTGTGGGGCTGAACTAGGCTGGAAGGTAGGGCTCTCTCTGTCTTTTCTCAGCTGCCGTCTCCATTCTTTCTTTCTGACGCGACTTTCTTCGAATTTGGCCACTCCCGATCTTATTAAGGAGCGCCAAACTGCGTGATCGCGAGCAGCTTCTTCCCAGGTGGTATGGGGAATGTCACAAATCTTCAGGCCACTTCCTCATCGATATTGACCGAGTGAGAGAGGGTGCTGCCAAGGTAAATAAACTTATCTGCCACTGCCAGTTTCTCTTCGTAGATGGTACTATGGGGCTCTATGTAAGGAACCAATAGGGCTGGCTGGTACAGTACTTCGGTCTTCTTTGTGGAGATAATAAGGCCGACATTTTTGCAGGCTTTAGAAAAACGGTCCAGGCTTCCTTGCATGTCTGACTGAGTACTGGCATTAGGCGCGCAGTCGTCTGCAAAGAGTAAATCGCGGGCTATGTCTGCCTGGACTTGAGTCTCCGAAGGTTGAAGAGTTTCCATCTGTGCGGTAACGAAAACCGACACCGATATCTCCGTCGTGGTAGGCGTCGGTCAGCATAGCTGAGAACATCATGCTGAACAGAGTGGGGGCCAGCACGCATCCCTGCTTCACTCCATTGGTGACGGGGAAGGGTTGGGAGTACACCCCATCGTCCTGCACTTTTGCTGTCATGCCATCGTGGGATTGTTGGACCATCACAATGAACATTGCGGGGCACCCGAACTTTGCCATGATGTTCTGCAGCCCTTCGCGACAGACAATATCAAATGATTTCGTCAGATCCACAAACGTGGAGTAGAGTCCAGGGTTCTGCTCTTGGCATTTCTCTTGTAGTTGACGAGCAGCGAAGATCATGTCCAAAGTACTGCGTCCCATGCGGAATCCACACTGACTCTCAGGGAGCAGGTCGTGTTCCAGATGTGCAACGAGGCGATTGAGCAGGATGCGAGCCAGGATCTTCCCAAACGATGGAGAGCAGGGCGATGCCTCGGTGGTTGTTGCAGGTGTTCCTGTTTACTTTGCGCTTGTAAAGGTGGATAATCGAAGCGTCTTTGAGTTCCTGTAGCAGCTTTTCTTGTAACCACCTGGCGGTAAACAGGCTTGTCAGTTTCTCTATTAGTGTTGGGCCTCCAGAAGCGTAGATTTCAGCAGGAATGGAGTCTGCACCTGGTGCCTTGCCACTGGAGAGGCGTTTGATGGAGAGCATTATTTCTTTTTCTGTTGGTGGGTCTGCCAGAGTGTTGTCGAATGGCACTTGTGGTAGTCTTTCAATGACTTATTCACTGTTGATGGATACTGTTTAAGTGTTGTGCCCAACGCTTGAGGATTTTCTCCTGGTCTGTTATCAGCGTGCCCCCGTCTGCGCTGAGGAGAGGGGATTGCCCTGACGAGGTGGGTCCGTAGACGGCCTTGAGAACGCTGAAGAAGTTCTTCATGTCCTTCCTGTCTGAATAGGCCTGGATGGCGTCGGCCTTCTCACTGAGCCATTTGTCTTGTAGTTGTCGTAGTTCGAACTGGACTCTCCTCCTGGCCGTATTGAAGTTATCTTTCTTTGAGGTGGAGGAGGGGTCATTGAGGAGTGCTCTGTGGAGTCGGTGTTTCTCCTCTTATATTGTCTGGATGTGACAGGTGTTGTCGTCGAACCAATCTTTATGCTTGCGGGTAGTGGGGCCAATGATATTTAAGGCAACACCATAGACGGCGTCACAGACTAGACGTGCCCACTCTGTCTCATCATCGGCTTGCGGGTCTATGTCGCTTTGTTGCAGTTTTTTCTCCAGCTCTTCTACCAGCGCATGTTTGACAAGATCATTCTTGAGCTTGGAGACGTTCAGTCGCTTGGCCACTTTAATGCCTTGGGGCCTCCTGGGTGGTGTGATTCTGAGGCTCATCTTAGAGATGAGGAGACGATGGTCCGTCCAACATTCTGCACCGCACATGGTCTTTGTGACTCTCACATCCTGTCTGTCTCTTTGCCTGACGATGACGTAGTCGAGTAGATGCCAGTGCCTGGAGCGTGGGTGCATCCATGACGTCTTGTTACGATTGGGCAGGCGGAAGACCGTGTTGGTGATGAGAAGATCGTGGGCAGCGCACGTTTCCAACAGGAGGAGTCCGTTGCTGTTGCAATTGCCAGCACCGTGTCTCCCTCACACTTCCTCCCACGACTTGAAGTCTCTTCTGACTCGAGCATTGAGGTCACCAAGGATGATGAGTTTGTCTGCCCAGGGTACGGCTGTGAAGGTCTTCTTTAGGTCCTCGTAGAATTTTCCTTTTATGTCGACTGGGTTGGTCATAGTGGGTGCGTTAGCGCTGATCAGCGTGGCAAATCTCTTTTTGGGGAGCGGGAAGTTGTCAGTCATCAGGCCATCGTTGATTCCCTTAGGGGGAGCTGCCTGCTTGTTGACCAGGTTGGACTTGATAGCAAAACCAACCCCTGCCTCACGACGCTCGTCGAGTCCACGACCGATCCAGACGAACGTGTAGCCGGCAGACTGCTCTGTGAGTTGTCCTTCCTAAGCGAGGCGAGTCTCACTGAGGGCGGCAATCTGTACTTTATATCGACCCAGTTCGCTGGCAATGAAGGCCGTCCGTCTTTCGGGACGGTTACTCCCTGATCGATCAAGGAGGGTGCACACATTCCATGCCCCAAGGGTGATGGTCATCTTTGATTTTTTTTAGTTCTTCTTACCGCTGGTGTGGGACCCTGCCAGTCGCGGCATGCTGGCCAAGGAAGGGTGAGACAGGCAATTTCTAGGACTCCTTTTCTAGTCCCGTCCCCAGGCAGTGGGGGGAAGCAGTGCTATCCTGAAGAGAGCTGCTTCGTCGCCCAGGTGGCTGCCGAGTTCCATCGCTGTCTCATTCACCGAAAAGCGACCACAAGGCCTGGACCGCCTACGTGTAGAGTTGTGACTACGACTGCCAGTGTGTCCACACCTGTCGCTTGGCCACTCGTCCATCGCCGCAGGACTTGAGAAGTAATGAGGGTGATGATGGGGGTGGGGATGATGAAGTCATGACTTGCGCTTGAATTTGATTTAAGTGAGGGAGAGTTGTGCCAAGTCGTCAGCCTCAGTCTCTTGTCCCTGTCCATCTAGTTCTGATGACACGACGAAATCGAGACGGCTGGAGATGGGCCGGGATTCAGCGGATGATCAGCTGTGTTTTCTCGTCTGACTGTGCCCTTGTCGCGCTCCGCGACGCTCTGCTGGGACCGCCTTTCTGCCCGTTGAACCACCGAGTGGTTTCGTCAGCGCAGTCCGCCTGAGCCAGTCTTTGCATGCTTAGGGAGACGGACCCTAATTTACTCACTAGTGGGTTTGAACCCCGACCAGCTACCCTCTACTTGGTTCAGCCCGCCTGCCAAAGCGGTTACCGGGGTGTGGCCGCTGCGCATGCTGCAGCTTCGTTTGAGAGTTGAGCGTCATGTGGGATCCAATGTAGAGAGGGCTGTCCGGAAAAGTACATGGCAGGCCTTCCCCATACAGAGGTACTATCCCTCCCTGACCCCCCTACACCCCAAGAACAATAATTAATCGAAAGATTATCCCCCAACTCGTGATATGGGTAGGTGAGGCATTGCTGAAGAGGAGAGTTGCAATGCGGCTGGGAAACTGGACATCTGACACGAGAAGCATCACATCGGGGTTGCCGCATGGATCATCACTCTCACCACTGTTATTCAACAAATACACAGTTGAAATCACTTCTGGACAATTGGAAGACAAAGGGCGTGAGCTGAGCTTTGTGGATGATATCCTTGTATACAGACACGGTAAGGACCGGCGAGATCACATTCAGGTAAAGATCACATAATCAGGATCGTCACAAGAGCTAGAAAAGGTCTGATTGCACTGAAAACAATGGTGTTTAGTAGAATGTCACAGAGAATTTAAAACATACTGTACAAGACGCTTGTGCTGTCTGTGATAGACTATGGCCTCGGTCTCCTCACCTTGTCAACGTCGCTGCTGAAATTAACGCCGTGAAAGAATTCAGAACGAAGGTATGCGGACTGTTCTCAGACACATCCTGCGAGGCCATGCGTTATCTCCTGGACCTCCAAGCAATGGTAGAACATCATACGATTGCTCAGGTCAAAGCATATTTGAGAGTCAGCACCGATGATCAGCACCCACTGCATGACAAAGTTGGTAGAACTGTACCCAGACGTCTGGTTAGAGGGGCTGAGTGGATGAATGAGTCAGCGACAACTTTCGCTAAATGCTGTGAAGTGCAAGACATCCGAAGGGGTGGCACATGGGTCAGTATCAGTGACACACTTAGTGGTATACTCGAGTGGTAGCAACTTTAGGCACAGAATGTCGTGAGTGGCGAGAGGGAGTAACCAATGCCGATAGAGGAGAACAGTGAACAGGACGACGTTGTCATCTTCACAGATGGATCAGTACAGCGTGGAGTCAAATCTGGATGGGCTTTCAGCGCCAGTGTAAACAGGGTCATACAGAAAGAGCTGTCAGGCGCCATATAGTACGTCCAGCATGTGCATGGAGACAAAGGCCATAACAGAAATCCTTAACTGGATTAAGACGACAAGAGTATTAGTCTGCCATCCTCGTCATTGACTTGATGAATACTCTCAACAACAAAAAGTTAAGAAACACGTGATCTATGCCGACTGGCGAGAGGTAATACGAAACAGGAGACTCGCACGGTAAGGGTTGTATGGATCTTTAGCCCGGGTCAGGCAGGAGTTCAAGGCAATGAACGTGCTGATAAGCTAGTCGGCCAGGCTGATACTGTCGACACCGTGCAATTAATTAGATCCAACAGTCATGGCAGCATTGGCAGTAATGTTCAACGACCACATAAGATGAAGGCACCACACCACAAAGACTGAATTTTAAGGAAACTGTTGTCCAGTGGCGGTGGGTAGTGAAGGGCTTACGGGCTTGAGCCCCTCACCCCCACCCCCTCCCCACCCCAACTCTATCCCTTACTTAATGAACGTTTC